AACTGGACTTTAAAATAGGTAATAAATGGGTTGCAAGGACCAGGTGTGCACTTGTACACTGTTAATACACGCAGTATACAAACACTGGACATACAAGAACACAATCCCCAGTTTCACTGACATGGCTATGGAGTTTAAAAAACAAGAGTCCTTTATGTTCACTTCTTCATCCATTGAAATTGCAGGTCCAATTCGGGACACAGTGAGAGGGCACAGTGTATCAACTGCTTGATGGCTTGTGTTTTTCTCTCATTGTGGTGCAGGTGCCTGGAATTTAGAACTGCAGATTGTAGGGCGTCAGACCCGGAGTCCCAAAAGACGGAGAAGCTCATGATGAAAGGTGAAGCCAAGAAATGATTTGTTGAATCACTTTTTGTGTGTTCAGTAGCAAACCAAATTGTACAAACACACCAGGATGCAATTCCCCAGACCCCTAGCGTAGATGGAGGTAAAACACGGAAAACAGCCCTTCACATCATTTCATTGGGATATCCCTAAGTCACAGTGGGAGATTCCCTTGGGAATGTTACCCCTGAACGTTTTGATGCTGGTCAGTTCTTTGTCTGGATGTTGCCAATAGTATCTTTACAAACAGATATGCACACTTCCTTTTCCCTTTACATTAGAGGAGTGGTATCCTAGTTACTCTTAATACTAACTCTGTCCATTCTTGGATAATACTGTTCAAAGTCTTTTCTCCCCAAAACTGTTATCTGTATAAGGGTTGTTGAGATCCTACACTTTAGTCCCCCTACAAGCCCTCAAATAAACCTGCAACTCTCACTTGTTCCACTTGGCCCTTTTACGGTCTCCTCCTAGTTGCTACATCATGGCATTTGTGTCAAGCTTTCATTGTACTAGCAGAACAATTTGCTGTCCATATTTCGTGATGGTATCATCAGTCATTTTGTTTCTCTTCCCAACGCAAGGTGTAAAAGCAAAACATTCTGGTCTAACTAGCCTTTTAAGACCATACACAGAATCCATTCAGAATTAATACTGATCCCAAGTTATACAACAGAATCTAAACTGAAAACACCCAAATCAAGGTGGGATACAGGAAATTATGGTATATGGTGTCACCTACATGAAGTGAGGTAAAGAAATGTCCCTTTAGATTAGATGGATAAAATGTTCATTTCGCCACACCCTGCTAAATGTTATCCCTGTTTATTCAGTAGGAAAGTCCATGTCGATGCCATTAAAGACATTGGCCAACAGTGGTTCAGTTGAAAGACTGAAGAAGTTCCCAAGGTCTCCTGGAACATGGAGATCCATTGGCGACAGCAACTCACTTGCTGTAAAGTGGATAAAAGCAACAATTCTTCAACAAGTTTGTAAATTCCTGTTCTCTGGAGTTTTGATAGCACAAATCGGAGAGGGTGGGGACAGTAAAATATATTCTGGGAATCTACCCATAGACGGTCAGAGATGCACAATCTCTTCTAACTGTCCGCTGGTCACTCATTTGCCAGTGGCAACTGTTCAGAAATGAAGCATGCAGTGAGGTCAGGGAGAGCGGCAGTTTCAGATTATACCAAGTTCAGGTTTCAGACATTCAATGTCAAATTTCTCCATAATCCAATCTGAGTTTGGTTCTGGTCCACTGGCTTTTGCTTGATTAAAACACCAGGCCAGATCTCCCCTAGCAACTGAGATTCCAGGATGGAGGGGTTACCTTGATCTTTTGCACCAAACAGGATGGAGGAAAACAAAGGCAGAGAGCCTTGGCATAATCGCAGATGGAAACGACTACCAGGCAACCCTGGCTTTTAGCATTGTGGAACTGGTCTTTAAAGAGACAGGACCGCTTCTGCAGGTCTCAGTAAATTGGGAGTATTAAGAAAGATGTTTGGGGGGGGGTGTCACATTTAATTGGAGGGGCGTGATAATATTTGTTCAGATTGAGGGATACTCAAGAGTAGAAGTTTTGTCACTGATGGAGCTGCATGCAAGTGTTTTTCTTTAAATAAAATCTTTTTCAATCCTTTCTGTACCAACGCAAATCCTCCCTTCCAGCTAGTCTGAGCTAATCTTTTCGATCGCTGACCTGAATCTCCAACTGTAACTCAGTGCTGCTTAAGAGTCAGGTGAGCCTCTCTTCAGTGCAGGGTTCCATCTAGCAGGTTGTCACACGTATGAGAAACCTCTCCCGATGGGTCCAGTGAAGGTTGTAGTGATTGAAAGACACAGGCTTCTGAATTAAGAGGTGAGACGCATTTTGACTGTACTGCCAGAATGCTTTCACAGAGAATTGAGAGTGTGACCTGACTGATCTTAAATCTGAATAAGCTTCACCATCAACTCCTCTCGCTACTTTCGCCTAATCACTAGCAGCACAATGTAGTCACATCTTAAAAGGAGTAGCTCAGGGAAGGTTATCCACTGTTTAGGACCCTTTATCCTGAATGTGTATAATCCACGTACTTGCACCCTTATTACATGGTATACTTATTTTTAAAACCATAAAAAAAAAGTGACCTCTGAATTCTGAAACAAAATCTAGACAGGAAAGCAAAAGAGGTACTGTTTCTTTTTCACATTGTACATTTCTACTAATACAGTTTGATATGCACCAATCAATTCACCTTCTCTGTATATAAAGAAAATGTAAAAATATTATAACTTCTAATTAAAACAAAAAAAAATATCAACCCCTCTTATTTGGTGCCACTCCTCATGGTGGCAGTGATAAAAGTAAAAGATATTCAGTTCTGATCCAACAGTGTGATCGAGTCTCGTCGCCATGACCATGAAGCACTGGCATCAGCAGCCACGGGCTTTCCTAACTGCAGCAGGAGGGGTGTTGTTGGGCGCTGGGTTCACGGGGCACTTGGGAAGTCCCTGGAGGTGCCGAGATCTTCACCGTGCTGAA